CAGAGATTACTGAATACATCGCAGTATCGCGGACCACGTGTTCAATTACATGTATAGTTGTCACGTGACAGCGATTAAATCAGCGTGTCATTAATATGCACGTGGGCATAGCTACAACTGGTGATCAACCTGGGAAATATAAAGACTCACGTTGTATGAATATGTAAATTTAATAGGACTTGAATCTGCAGCCTGGGGCCAGTGATAGGTATTATTGAATATATATATATATATATGTAGTATAATTATAACAATAATTCCATTACATATTGTATATATCATATTTTATGTATAAATTTATGTTGTGTATTATACGAAATCATGTTATATAGTATGCCCAAATCTCAACCGTTATGAATAAACATGACTCTATAGAGATAAATGCTAATATTAAGATTACATATCGCGACCTATTCAGCAGTTACGCGCACTAATCGATTAAAAAGTGTAAATAGACATATAACAGAATCCCCGGGTCAATGGAGTTCGCACATAGTTGACTTTAAACACACCACAGTGTGGCACGATTACAAGCGATGTTGAAATATTAACATTGAACTCACACGCAGTCAATGAGAAATCGACATGTTATCTATATTTTTACCACATCAATTAATAAACGACAATATCGTTTAGTATCAAAAATAACAATTTATAAATCAAATCGGATGTTGTTCACCTGTACGAACATTGCAATCAGCCTAGTGTGCACGAGCGGTCATAGCGATATTAATGTAAGTAGGTCTATTGAAAAGTACTTTTTACGACTGGATGGAACAAGAACGCTGAAAATTTCCGTCCATGTAGGATTGACGGAAAACTCACCTTCAAACATTGGTATACCACCGCCACCTTCCTCGCCGTCATCAAAAGCCATCTTCCTTCTGCGCTACGAGATGTCGGCCTTACAGTTTCCAAAACAGCTGGTCGCTTCAGGTCGACAAAGGCGCGTTATGGCACTGACAGACTGGAGCTTAAACGTGCGCAACATACCGGGGAAGCGGAGCGTAAACCGATGACGCTAGCTTTGGAAATGATGACTGATCATAACCTTACAGTCCAGTATACTCACAATAAAGACCTCAATTTCACGAGAACAGCGCTATGAATACTCTTAATTTACGAAGAAGTGAATTATTTATTCATTTTCACGCTCTTATCTATTCAATATATCGTTCAGGGATATGAATTAATTCCCGAGAAAGGTAATGTCCATGTCATAGTTTGTGATCTAACCAGAGTTTTAATTGATTGAGTACAAACTAAACAGGTTGCTGTTCATAAACAAACGTGTACGGTGACAGCGTCAATGTTTTAATCTCATCATATAAACACGATCACAGAAGGTATCTGGCTGTACGACGACCGGCGCCTTTAATAGTGTTATGTGTTTCCAGCAAATATATAACTGACTCATGCGCAGATACAACAGATAAGTTGCCAGGGGCGGATACATGATTTT